GAAAGAAGAGTTCTACACACTTTTGTACACTCAGCACAAATGATGGCCTACCAGCATCACTTACGATTTTCTAATCATGGATGACGATTTGATGAGAATGTATAGATGAAGTCGAGATGAAGAACAAAGAAGCTACGTAATTGAATCCGATAAAAAAAATCGAAGAAAGATTATACATATCAGTGCAAACAATTTAAATTAAAATATTTAATTAAATTATGTATTTAAAAAATGTTATTATTACCAACAAATTGACGACATGCATCAAAGTAAGTCAAGTGTTGAACTGGATATCACGACAGATATAATGGCACAGTGATAGATACGACCGTCGATGATAAGTATAGAGACGATCTGAATAAGAATCGGTGCGATATTCTAATTAAACAATGCGATTCTACGTTTGTTTACTGGGAACACTGTTCGAAAGTGGCGCCTTTTCGTGGAGACCGGCGACCATTAGACTGCTCCCGTGACACTCGAGGTAGAGTATGATGGTTCCATCGAGTAGGTAGTGCCTAGACGGAGCTCCACCCAGCACTTAGTTTACGTCGCGATTGCGGCCCCGGGCACGGCCGTTTCCAGAGTACAGTCACGCCCCTGCCATGCGAGTACTGTACTCCCATTCGCTGGCCCATATCTCATCTGGTCCATCGCATTAGCCTAATCTGCCAGCAACGTGAACGGGGAGAAAAAAAAAAGTACGGCCATCGACGTTGCCACTGACGAGAGAGAAATCGCGGCGAGGTGCTGCCACCTTTGTGGCGAGATCGAGAGGACGACCGGTTATCGAATCGATTTTTTCCTACGAGAGACGCTTGTTCCGCTCTCATTTCGGCTAGTAGTTTCGATTTGATTGTCCGTGTATTTTCTGACGTTAATATTTCCCCACGCCAGTTAGTAATTTGCAGTTACATTTCGCTCGCGTCGGTTAGAAACGAAAATCGTTCCACTCGGCTGACTGGTTCACCATGAAGACGATCGCCATTAATGGGTAAGATGTTACGCTTCAATATTTAAGTGTTACGGATTGCGAACGAAACTTCTCTCTGTATCAGTTATAAATCACACTTATGAAACTCAATTCAAATGAAGTTTGTTGCAGTAATATTATCGGTTTGATGTAATATTGTCAATTTGTCGAAATTGTAACCCTTTTTGGTAAAAAAAAAAAAACTATTGTGCAAATTCTTTAATTTCTTTCCAGAAAGTCAAATTGTTCTAACAAAACTGTTAGGTTGACAGTAATTTTGGATGCATATTGGAAATGAAAATCTAGGTGTAAATGTCAAAAATGCTGAGAATAAAAATTGTTTATTATTTAATGAGTATTTAATGTTACAGTTTATTTCCGTTATCAAACGCTGCTCATCATCAAGATGTCGACTTATTATCTAGCGAATATCGGGAATTCATCACAAAAGCTGTGGAATTGGTAAGTACTTTGGATGCATGGCCGCAAATATGTTAATTTATCGTGATCTTTTTTAATGTATGTTCTGGAACGTATAGAACGTATGGAACATTTTAAAATAATTACTCAGTTACTTTGATATTTCTAATTTGTAATCATGTGACTCGATAAAGTTTCCAATTCAAGAACATCATATTTATATATATATATATTGATAAAGGCCTAATCTAAGGCCGAAAACGTTCTATGTTACCTGCTTGAATAAAGTAACGTTTCTATCATACACACATTATCACCAGTGTTTTTTGCTTCAAATGGCCATTATACATTTCTTGTTTTTATACAATTTTTTGAAGCTTGCTACACTCCTCTTCTAATTTTAAAATAAATCAATCAAAGTAGGAGATATAGTGCAAATGTAATGAAATTTTGATTCTGTAATTATTAAAATTTCTTCAGGTGTTTAAATCGTATACAATTTTGAAATAACATTTTTTAGAAGCTTTGTATGCTATATTAGAGTGGCTCTTACTTCTAGTGAAAATTTGCTTTGAATCTTATTTGCGGAACTTCCGAGAATGATTCCAATTGCTAAAAAAATAATCTGTGAAAAAGTTCAGCCCGATCGGATACAGAGAAAAGAAAAAATCCAAAAAAGTAACACCACGAATACCGTTAATTGTACGAAAAAAAAAACATGATAAATTATACTTCTCATTCAGACCTATAACTTTTATTTAACATGTTTTTTTATATAATCAATAAGTTGGAAGATAATTAAATAAAATCGATTTAGTATGCATTTAAATAAGTTTTTTAATGTTTAAAGTCCTAGGACTCATCTGATCGGGCTGAACTTTTTCACAGATTATTTTTTTAGCACTTAAAACCATTCTCCAAGATGCTGCGAGACAATTTCAAAAGTCAAAACTAAGAACCACTCTGATGTTATAGGCTACATCAGAGAAAGAATTTTGCAAATATTCTTGCTATAACTTTTACGTGATTTATTGAACAAAAAAACAATTTTAAAGTAACGAATTTGCAAATAAATGAAAATGCATCAAGTGTAGAAGTTCAGAAAAATTTGTGACAAAGATTTTGTATTATCGTTCTTTTCGATATAGCTCGATATAATTTTTGTTAGAGAATTGCTAGTTTCATTAAACGGCAAAGAAAGAAAGAGGAAGGAAGAGAGAGTTATATTACGGTGAAAATTGTACACATATGCTATAATCTTGTTTGTCGGTCTTACACCACCATAGGCTATTTTCTGAGCTTGTGCGGATATATTGCGAGGCATAAATTTTCGTTTCATTTAAAAATGCGTGACGTAAAAGTCAGAAAGAACCTCCGGTGCACGCGGAGAGACGTACGTGGTGTGCCACACTCTCTGTGGAAGAAAAAAGCCAGATGTCAGCCGAGAGGTAGGTCAAATATTGCGTCGATTTTCGGAGGCACCATAAATTGTTCCAGTTTTCAAAAAGAGAAACCACACAACACGTGTGCATACGCACGACACACTATAAGCTTTCCTTTATTACGGAAATGCCGGCGGTATTGTTCTGAAGTTTTAAATAAGCCGAAACTCTGTTTAAAATGCAAAGTTAGCATTTTTCTTCTGTCTCAAAAGTTACCTACCATATACACACACACATCGAGATTGTCTTTTTGACAAATAAATCTGATGCGTCTGATTGTTTTAAGTTATATTTTCTGTTCCGTTCTTAAAACGTACCTAAAACAAATCACACAATTTGTTTCTAATTATTTCACGATCTCCCAATTGTGTGTGAGAAAATTGTGAACACAATTATATTATCTGTGCGATTACGTAAATGTTTCGCAGCAAATCTTGTCAAGATGTCTTAATATCGAAAATTCAAACGGTTGTTCGTCGATTTTAAAAATCATATTTTATACAGGATAATTTTTTAGTTACTATTATTTAGTTATTATTATTATTAGCCTTACAATATAAGACGTCGATCTGAATTAGTTTTGTTCTCGATCATTCGTAGATAATTAGCTTCTCAAACGCGTATAATTCGACTTCATATTGTTCTATAACAGAATTACTAGCATCAGTAAATTCAGATACAACACCTGTTCTAACAATGACTTTATTGTCGTATGTATATAAGATTAATGATGTCCTAATGACTACACGAGCCGTTTTGAGGCGCGACTGTCTGCCAAAATATAACTCAATTCCGTGATGGATACCTATTGGAGCCCTTTTGTATATCTTCAAACGATGCGTTTTAATACGAGTCCAAAAGTCCATCTTACAAACGCTGATAAATTATTCTCTGTTCATTATTCTCGTGTCTGGACGATAGACTCATCTTGCACCTGCAAATTTGGAAAATAAAAAAAAAGAATTAGGAAAAATCTATATTTAGAATATAATATTCACAAGCATAAAAATCTGTAGTTATAAAATAACATCGTGATATTGTTTACATGAATTTTTATATGTTTTCCTTTGTCATCTTGTTGTCACTTTCTCCAGAAATATATCTATGTTGTCGAGAAAATAATAATATATTGAGATAGATATTGTCATCTTACTTATAAACACGTGAATAAGCACGTAAAGAAACTTTTTATGGGATAATGAGAAATTAGACTTTATATTTACCGCTGTAGTGTCTCATAAGATGTTTTCCGTCGCACAAAGATATTGTTCGTACTCAACATTTTCTAAAAGCAAGTGTTGCAAAAATTCTATTTGACAATGTGCTAATGACATATTTGTCATAAAATTTTGCTTTTGACTTAAATTATCCTAATAAAAATCTGTGTTCTTTGAATGAACTTTTTTATGTGTCATTTTGCTCTGTTTCTATTTACCATGTACAATAGTTTTGATTCGCGAAAGTTTTAAAAGTCGTAGACTGATACTCGGTTTGATCAAAATATGAAATCGAGAGATATAGAAAACTCGGAAAGTTTCTCTTCAATAGAATTATCTCTTTTACGTTTGAAATTTATCAAAATTCTCGTGAAGTAAATTACAAAAGATGATGATGTACATCTTGATGTAATTAAAAACATATCTAATATAAATATAACGTCGAATTAAATTACATTACAGTTTACGCGCATATATTTCTAATTATTATAATACAGAACAGGTTTGATAACGATCGAGACACGATTTCTATATAGAAAGCGCTTGGTCTTGTTATAATAATGAAATATTAGAGCCACAACAATTAACGTATTATTTTAATTTTCTTTATTATGCAATTAAAAACATTATGAGCAAAGGCAAATCTCTCTATGTTCCAAATAACTAAATTATAAGTTTTCTCTAGAAAAAAGTGTGTTAAAACATCATAAAATAAAGTACTCAACATTAGGAACAATAGGTATTTAATATACAACATATATTACTAATTATTCAACATAAATTTAACGGTTTCTGGCTGTAAAAAAAAACAGAAATGAAATAATAGCGGGGGGAAGGGACAATATATAGCAATTTTATGTATACACATATATATTTTTTCTTTTTTCTTGTGTTTTTAAATATATGATTATCAATAATATTTCTTGTTAAAGACAATCTCTTTTGCCTTTGTTTCTTTGATATGTAGATGGTCGGTTTCGCATGATTACTCCGTTTAAATTCGTGTCGTGATCTTCTTGTACTTCTTCCGCATTTAGTAATCAGCGTTTAACGAAGGTAGTAAGAATATATTATGTAACTCTTTGATGATTGTGTTGTTTACTTTCTTCTTTTGCTATTTGATTTTTACGTTCTTTCGCGATAATTTACATGTAACTGTGATGATTTAATTCAAAAACTTATGGTTTAATTGACTTCTCAAAACATCATCTGCAATTAATAAGGTAATAATGTATAAGATGTAGAAATGACGTGTCTTATTAAAATATTTTTGTGCAACTTACATTTGTGCTTTTTACTTTTGATGATACAAATGAAATCCATCTTCTTGTTTTAAGTTCTCTTGATAATTATTAGTTGATTGGCTGCTGCAAATGTTTAGGTGCTTTGATTGAGAAATAAAATCTGAAAGAAAAATGTATAGATATTTTCTTATTATTTTGTTGTATTATTGTTTAATAGTAAATTTCAAGTTTTTTATACTTTTGCTAAAAAACGTTGTTTTTGATTTAATTATATTATAAAATGTATTGTTTTACGTATTTTTACTGATTGGCAAAAATCAAATATTTCACTTTAATACGTTAATAATTAAAGACGTAATTAACAACAATTAACATTAAAATAACGAATGATGAAAGCTTTGGCAAATATGTAAGCGGCAAGTGTAGTGTGTGATTAATAGAAGATCAGTTTGAGACCAAATTTATGCAGGGATATTCTTTTGCCTGCTGGGGATATCAAAGCTACTGCGGACAAATAAATCCAGTCGCATTCCTTGACGATGAATTTCATTCGTGCTACGCACAGAAGGGAACGACGAGATTTGATTTGTAGGGAACGAAATGGGTCGCCATGATGTCCGCATCAACGCGAAATGACGAAGTGCTACACACATCGAGTTAACATTTTTGGTAGAAAACCATTAAGAAAATGAAACAATTCTAATGTTGCACGTGTTATTTATTTCTATAATATTTGCTGATGCGTACGTGGCAAAAAATGCAATACACAGCCGAGATATATTAGTAATACTATCAACTTCAAAATAAAAAAAAATAAAAAAAAAAAACATTTACAGATCCTCCTACCTCTAAATACGAGTAGCGCAATAACAATGTAATTTGGAATATTTGATATAATAACCATTAAAAAGTAATGTGCGTGTACGTGCTGCGGCGACACACGTCCTATCCTCCCTTCCCTCCTCTCCTTCCCAAAAGGTTTTCGTTTATACAATACTTAATATTTCACAATTAATATTCCTTTTTTCCACTCAAATAAAAATGAGAACGAGCCGGGCAAAAAAGGGCGACTACTATTAATAACGTAGCAAAGTTAAAAATGTTTACACCGCAGGTTGCAGTTCATGCGAAAACTCGCGGTCGTAACGACGGTATAATTTTGAACACTGCTTCGTACTTAACGCTGCGTCTGATATTTTAACGTTACAACAGTCTGTTACTACCTACGTATATATAAACGTATGCGAGCAAACGCAAAGCAAAACTCGAGCAATTCTTACAAAGAAGTCGCGGTTACAATATAATAAAATACGTTACAACACACACGTTCGATCGTACGTAAATTCCGCAAGCGACGTCTATAGCACGCAGGCAAAGAAAAAAAATAATATATCGCGCGAAGGGAAAAAGTTATAAGATGTGCGGGAACGGACGTGCAACTAATATTAATAACGTGGCAAAGTTAAAAATGTTTACTGTGTATTACGGCTGATATGAGGGCCACGAGTATAGCAGCAGGGTCCCTTGTGATTGATCGCACGTCTCTACGTCTCTCCCTCTGACAGGGTGTTCCTATGGATATTGCCTTGGCACGGTCCTGTGCACGCTACGATCCCCTTTGCCTCCCACCTTCGTGTCTATAGAGACACCATACCGATCTATTCTGTCCTCCTTCTCTTCTCCTCCCTGTCCACTCAATGAATCAAATCGCCCTTTACCTTTACTCTTCTGTTTTTGTTATGCTAAAATTTAACATCACCTTCAAGACATGCGATGCGGATACAAACACACGTTTGTTGGTAGTGATTTTTAGCTGTAAAAATTTTTTTACAACAATCAGTTCGAAAACTTGGTACAACGCAAGCAGTTCAAAAGTAACGATTTTAATCTATATGTTACGTACATTGGCACGTGTAAAACAATCTTGTGGAAAAGAAGCGCGTTATTTCTTTGAATATACATTAGACTGTGCATAACGACCAGCTATAGCAGAATAATTACACATCTACTAATGTTAATAGCCTAGTTATAAACTCGAACACGTATGCAATTATATATATAGCACACAATGATTGCGTCAAAGATCATGCTTAATCGTTCTTTAAGTTTGTTAGATCGGCATTAGGCGTACAATTACGTACGTACTTTGCGCGTCGCGTTTCGCGTTTCAACTTCTCTCTGTTTTTTTTTTTTTGCAGAGTTAATGAATGTTCTAGTCACGCTAATTAAAGTTTTATTATGGACTATCTTCTCAATGGCAAAAACAAATCGGCTGACTGGTGCAACAAAAAGCACAGTGACGTAATTTGCAAAGTAAAATACTCTTTAAATATGAGGATTCTAAAAAAAGAAAATAACACGACGTTAAATCATTTAATTAAGCTTAAGAACGGTGAGGTATTAACAAGTAGAGAAGAAGTACTATCTTGTACAACGTTATAATTTACACAGCCGTTATATATAGATTTCTTTTTTCTCACAAAACCTTGCGGTTGTTATTATTGCTCTTTATCATTACTTTGAAAAAATAAATGTGACGGTTTTTGTGTCACTGTACATATATAGTAATCGGTAACCGTGTTAACACTCATGGATTTTACGGCTTTTAATTTACTTGACAATTATCCGCGCGTCTTTAACAAGCACTTCCTCTCTATAACTTTACGTAATGTGGTTATATCAGAAATATCAATCTAAAAAAAAAAAAAAAAGGCCAACGTTTGAGTCTGTTATTAACGACAAAGAGGAAAAAAAATGGGGATTACGTTTTTTGTTTTAAAACTTCACGGAGATTGTGCAACACGAGCAAGTTGATTCCTTATATAGTTTCCTGTGCGTACACATTACGCTTTTAATCATCGCGAGAGTAAGTTCGCGAGAGGGAAATCTCATTAACACATGTATATTTCTTACTCAACGCACATACGAGCGAGGCGGTTCCTTGACCTTTAGCTCTGGTGCCTCCATACATGTTTAGTAGCAACTGGTTGCAGTAGCAAGAATTAGCAATTAATCTTTCGGTTGGTGTTACGAATGGGGATAGAGAACGATCTGGACGCGAGGGAAGGAACACGGGAAGAATGTAATAAAGAGAAGAGAGCGAAAAGAAGAAGCGGACAAGCGAGAGACTACATGAAAGAGAGACTTACAAACTATCTATTATGTTATAACTTAGTTATAACACACGCGCGCACAGTACTCGCGTATATATTCTCATCTGTGCGTGCCTCCTTCTTACACACATATATAACGGGACGTATATTATTTGATATAAAAAATAATATACCGTTAAACTATATACCAATAGGTATAGAGAGACTGCGATCTAATTGTTGCATTGTTTGCATAATATATGATCTATATAAGTCTCTCTCGTTCTCTCTTTCTCTCTGTTTCTTTCTCTCTTTCTTCTACTGATTTATATGCATGTATTTGAATATTCGCAATGGTGAATTAGCCTGAGATTAGGGTATGCTTTGTTGCGCGTTCTCAGCGCGTGAAAAGTAATTCGTTATGATAGTGATTTCCAATAGAACAACGCACACTGTTTCCTTCATCTCATCGACAGCTCGGCGCTGTCTTACAAAGAAATGGGCAGCAGTGGCGGCGGCGGTGGGTAGGTAGGTCCCTCGGGAAGCTGTGATCCTTCCTTTCTCGCTCCCTCGTGCGGCGCGAACGGGAAGGCGAGCGAAGCCAGCGGAGAAGGAGGGACCGCATCTTGCTCCGCAGGACTCCCTCTCTCGCCACCGGGGTCTCGCTATTTATTTTCCAGGATTTCAGAGTCCGAAGCCATTAATCTCCGCTCCGCAGCGTCAGTAGAGCGCGTCAGGGCGACGTCGGGGTGCGTGGCGTCGCCGACGTCGCTCTGCTCTTAGCCGCAGCCTCGTGTACAGGGTTTGGAACCGCGCGGCGGCGAGGTAGGGGAGGAAAGGGGGATCCGAGAGAAGGGAGAGAGAGCCGAGAGATGAGGTGTCGGTAGGAGAGGTCGTGGAAGTTGGTCAGAGTGGAGGGAAAAGGGACGTGTGGTCGGGACGAGTGGGGATCTAGGCTGGTTCGTCGAATGGCGGGGGTAAGAGAGAGAGAAAGCTCCCGGAGAGGGAGGTGCTGATGGCGGCGACGAGAGGGGAATGGTCGTATGGTAGAGTTATGCAAAAAATATCTGCCCACAAAAAGATCGGATAAAGAAGGTACGGGGGATATTAGTGTATTAGAATTCAGCTCTGTCGCCAGTGGTTGATGCCACAGTCGATGATTTATTCCGCGACTGTCTCGCACAGCGACCCGAGTTAATTATTGCTCAAACTCTTTTCGGCAAGAAAACGCATCTTGCTGCGGCCTATAAACGCGATGATCTTTATAATTCTCCGCAAAAACCCAAATAGTAACAACTTACATAGTTTGTGGACACAAATAATTGTTCGTTCGATGTACCCTTTGTTACACGTAAGAGACCACAGCCTTATGGACGCTATTTATTGTGAATCGCGAACCCACAGTCTTTCTTCCCTGCTTTAATTAACATTTTGCTTTTCGCAAAGAAAGACGTCAAAGTCCCTGGTTAGATCCATACTCTAGAACTCCCCTTTGTCCGCAATGAGACAGTTACCCTTCGTGCTCTTTCACCCCTTTTATTGTTTATCCCGCCTACTTATTATGTCAGCGTCACACCGCCGTCTCTGGAGTACCTAACCCCTCTTGATATTCTAATCGGACAATTCTCATCTACGAGCTCTCGTCACTTCCCCTTTCCTGTCGTTCGCCCGGGCGTCTAGCCGGAGATTCCCGGAATTCCTGACATCGGCGATAACTCTTAAATTCCTGCAGGATGAAAGAAGCACAACGCCGTCGGCAGAACGTCCGGAAGAAATACTGTTCTGCTGTTGGAGGGCGCCGATTCTTTCATGTAGGGACGGGAGAAATTCCTTCTCTCAACAATCGTGGAGATAAAATGGAGGCAAGAAATCGATAACGTTATTTTTTGCGGAATATCTCATGTTCTATGCATTTCGCCTGATGATCGTGTATAGATATGTAATATCGATAATATCAATTTTGTCAAAAAGGAGAGATCATTTTGAGAAAATAGATTTTAGATACCAATATAGATTGGACGTATGTTTTTAGTAACATTTAATAGATTGTTGCTAAAAATTATTAATC